TTTCCCGAACAGAAGGGTATTTCGTCTGGAACTCAACTGCTTTGGTGCGAATACTGTGAAGAAGCACACCCTGTTCATCAAGCGTCTTCATCTTCTGAAGCTTGGACTTCGCCTTCAAGAGTGATTTGAAATCCGCCCGAAAACCCTTGACCGCCACCGCAGTCCAGCCTTTAAAGCGCTCAGGAATGTTGAACTGCTCAGGAACAGCCGGGTTAGCGCTCGTGGAAGCAACAGCAGGTGCTACCGCAGGAGCAGCGTTCGAAGCGGGATCCATCTCCATGGCGGGAGGAGAAAATGTTTGCTCGTCGTGCGATGTCGGTCCGCGAGTTGGTGCAGTATGTTTTGCTCCTTCAAGTTCGCGAAGGCGTTGTCGCTTGTGCGTGCGATACCCCGCGTAAGTCTTGGGAACACCTGCCTCGTGGATCACAATAGCAGAACTGCCCTCGTTAAGTTCGGCGTCGTCTGAGTCAAGCGTAAGTGCCAACTGGTCTTGGGACATGTTCTCAGCGAGCAGCAAACTTATTCAGGCTTAAAGCAAAAGATAGACAGTAAAAACCCTTCTGTAAAACTTAGATCTCAACAATCCGAGCTCAAGAACTTCAGCAGTAGAGTAAAACAAACATGTTTCGGCCGTTAAGGGGCTACCCTAGCAGGCCTTCATCAGTGCTAATGAAAGAAACAGAGCTAAGCTACGCTTCAAGAAGAAACGAAGCCTCAGAAAAACTGATCTCTAGGTTATCTACACCAGGTCAGCCCGAAATACGGGGACCAGTACATGTCACCCTTGAAAATTTCTCAGGTGGCCACGTCCTCAATCCTTGGAGCGTCGTCGTTGAAGTTCGAATTCGCATCCTCGCCAGGCAGCAACTGTGGAAGTCGCGCGCGTACCAGTAACCTGTTAAGGTTACAACCAATTTGCCATGCAACAAAAATCCTCTCCACATATAATCCGCGTGTAGTGAGTCGATTTTTGAGTCGACTCAAAAGGACCCCTAGCCCGAGACGAGCAGACACCGAAGTGTACTGCGTCTTCAGAACTAGGGGTCCACGGGATGGGAGAGAAATCTGTTGCCGGAGCGCCTGGTTAGCGATGGTAGTGGCGAGGAGTGACGAACGGTGAGCGAAGGTGACGCCTTGGAAGATTGGGTGCAGAAAAGCAGGAGGGTAACCACGGTCACGAAGCCGGCCGAAGAAAGCCTTCTTCGTTGCGAGGAAAATCGCAGGTGATGTAGAGCGGAGCAGGTACCGTTTCAATTCTGCGCGAATGAAGGATTCCTTGCAGTGCCGTGGGTGGAAGGAAGCAAAGGGAAGATAGAGATACTTATTCATCGGCTTCTGAAACGTGCCGAAATCCAAAGTACCCTGCTCCTTAAACCGCGGTCCCTTGAAGAGAACCACGTCCAGAAAATCGATGGAGCAGTCCGAAACAGACCATGTGATCCGAATGTTTGGATCAAGCTCATTGAAGGTGCGCAGGTAGGCTTCCAAATCTGCCCGCGTCCCCGGCCATACGATTAGACCATCATCGATGTAGCGCACATGGTAAAGAGGTAACGTTCCGGTCCACTTCCCCTTCAGTAACTCATCCAGGCGGCTCATGAACAGGATCGCGAAGCAGACTGCTACAGGTGTACCCATGGCGGTGCCTCGTAGTTGGTGAAAGATCCGGCCGCCGAACTCGACAAAAGAGTTCCTCATGATCCAACCCAGAAGGGCCATGAGAGGTGGGGTGAGTTGCGGTTTCTCCCTCATCAGAAAACTGCTGACCGCATCAAGACCGCGCTCGATCGAAATGCTGGGGTAGAGAGCGGCTACATCATACGTCGCTAGAAGTACCGTCGTCGGAAACGTGGTGCGTTCGAGCGTTGTCAGCAGAGAGAGAGAATCCCGGAGGTACGTAGGACGATTCAAGACCAGCGGGCGAAGTTCAGCGTCAAGCCACTTGCTCACATTAGTCGTGGCCCATGAATGTGAGGCAGCGATCGGTCGCCCCACGGGTACTTTCTTGTGAAGCTTAGGCAAGACGTAGAACGCAGCTGGCCGCCATCCCCCGGGTGGTTCCTTAAAGAAATATTTCCAGAGACTGTCTGGAAAAGCCGGTCCCCACGTCACCTTCAACTCCCGCAGCTGCTGCAGAACCCGTGGCGTCGGGTTGCGTTCAATCGGCTGGTACACTTCCGCATCTCCGAGATGTTCCATACAAAGGTCGATGTAGTGCTGCCGATCAAGGATAGTGACGCCAACGTTCTTGTCTGCAGGTTTGATGACGATGCTGCGGTCGGCGGCGAGGGAGCGCAACGCCTTGCGAATTCCTGACGAGATATTGAAACCCCGCCGTGGCGTCGTCGCTTTCAGAAGATAAGAGAGGTCGTTGTGGGCCTCCCTGAAAACCGACTCCGGGACAACATCCCGATCGGGTTTCCAATCTGGGTTGCGCACACGGAAGCGTGACATCTCAGATGAATCCCCTTTATCCTTGAAGAAAAAATGAAGAGAAATCCGTCGATGCAGTTGATCGAGGTCTGCTTCGATGGAAGGGCTCCTGGTAGGCGTTGGCACGAACTTCAATCCCATCCCGAGTGCTCGTCGCTCATCGGTCGTTAAAACCTTATCACTCAGGTTATGCACTCCGTTGTTTCAGACCCGCGACATGGCTTGTCGTGAAGTCAAACGGCCGAACCAAAGAAGCGCGAGATCCCGCGCCGTTACTTCTTCTTTGGCGGCCCGTTTGCGGGGCCGCCGCCTCCGTTTTTTGGAACCCAGGCCTGCTTCGGTGCTGCTTGGCCTTTCCCCTTGCCGTCGGTAGGAGCGTCAGATTTCTTCTTTTTCCCCCGCTTCTTCTTCGCCTTGTTGTTCTGGGGCTTAGAGTCAGCGGCGGTGGCCGACGGAGAGACCTTCTTCTCCAACGCAATCTTCTGAAGCTTCGCAGATAGCTCTTTGTCCAGCTTCGCCGCGAACTCCTTGCGAAGCCGATCTTCGACCTTCTTTACCATGGCATGGCACCAGGTCTTCTTACTCCACCTGTGCCAAGGCATGCCGGCATGTCTCCATTCCCCACCGCTCCTCCCCCCAGTGGTCGCCATGTTCGCCCAGGTGTACAACATGGATGGTACTGTGCCGCCTCACCCACCACACCGCATGTTGCCCCTTCGCCCCTTTTCCCCCCTCTCCCTCCCCCACACCCCCCTTCCCAGTGACGTTCGCCGTGTACGATGTGGATGGCGACGGCAAGATATCCAAGGGGCACGTCCTCATCCACACGGCAACACTTCCCCTTCTCGCACCTTCCCTTCCCCCTCTCCCCTCCCCCCAGTGGTGTTTGCCGTGTACGATGTGGATGGCGACGGCAAGATATCCAAGGGGGACCTGCTCGCCATGCTGCGGGACCTGTCAGGGGGCTTTCTCTCTGACGAGCAACGAGAGGTGGGTTGTGGGAGAGGCGGGGCTTCGAGTGGGAGTTGCTTTGCAGGGGAATCGCACAGGTCATCAACACAGGGTGCTTGCAAACGGGACCTGCTCGCCATGATTAGGGACCTGTCAGTGGGTTCCTTTCTGACTAGCAACGAGAGGTGTAGACGTTGTGTTATGGGATAGGTGGGGCTTAGAATCGCAGATGGGGGACGCAACACACACCACACACCACAAGTCACGCACCACACAAAACACATAACACAGTACTGAGAAATATGCCGCTTCTGCTCACCCTTTATTACCCATCACCCGCCATCACCCCCCCAATCACCACCCATCACCGCGCATGACCGCACAGGAGGTGGTGGTGCAGGCGATGCAGCAGGCGGGGTTCAGCAGCGACTCACTGCTCTCCTTCACTGACGTCTACAAGGTCACCTGCCATGCCCTGTACCCCGCCATACCATACCATACCGTTCCATCTACCACCAAGCCCTGTGCCATGCCATGCCATGCCATGCCATACCATCAATGTCTGCCTGGCTGCATGCCTGGTCTTGGCCACACAACTGCCTGTCTCTCTTATGTCCCGTGACCAACCCACTCATCTTCTTCCATTCTCTCTCTCCTCCCCATTCATCTGTTACCATCCTGGTGCTTATGTGCACTGGTTATGTGCCTTGCAGGTCATAGGGAAGCAACTGCGGTTGCAACTTGACATTCCTGTGGACGAATAGGTACTTAGTCTGTTAAACACCGACAAAAAAAAAGCTTTATCTTATTGTAAGACGGGGTACAGGCGCGCAACGCGCTACGGTACAATATTCTAGAAATAAGGTGCTGAGGCTCATGTTTGTCCTCAAATTAATCCATCCATCCATACCGGTACAATACTATAGAATCATGCTACATGTAGGCATACTATTGAGAGCAACCTTCCACATCTGCATGAATCTTGTACAAGCCGCCAGGGCGCGACTCTATGCATATCGCTGAGTGTAGTGTTGATACATGTAGCACACGTGCTAACGACTATGGAAGTGTAGATGCGCCGTCGGACATGGCTCCCTGAGCAAGGCGATAGTATAGCAGCAGCATTGTTGCCATGCATGACCTGCACATGCAAGGAGTGCAACATGTGATCAACACCGGGGAAGGTGTGAGAGGGTTGCATGTGCAGCCAAACGCACCATGAATGCAGGTGGAGGACGGAGGAGGCGGAGAGGTGGAAGGAGGGAGGAAAGAGGAGGAAGGATGTAAGCAGTGGTGCGTGTAAAGACAATGAGTGGGCAGTGGGCACCCAACATGGCACAGAGAACCGCGCACTCCTCATCACACCACAGCCACAGCAGCAAGGCATGGCATGGCATGGTATGGCATTGAAGGGCATGGCACGGCATGGCATGGCACACATGGCACAGCACAGCGTGGCATGGCAGGGCATGCGAGATGCTTACAGAATGCCCAAAAAGGAGCAGCAGCTTCCGCGGGTCCACACCCCCACCTGCGCCTCTGCCCCAATGATACTTGAGTCGACTCACAAATCGCCATGGCAGGGCAAGTCATGGGAGGGCATGCAAGCTGCTTACACAATGGCCACAATGAGCAGCAGCTTCCGCGGGTCCACACCGCCGCTGCGCCGCTGCCCCGCTCTCCGCCTGCCGTCCTCGTGCGCCCCCACGGGTGCATGCTCGTCCTTGTCCCTGCGGTGCGAGTGCGTGGCTGTGAGCGTCACTGGCAGCGCGTGCAGCGCTGGTGACCACCACGACCCCAGCAACCTCAGGAACTGCAGATGCGCCGGACCTGAGGAAGGAAAGGGCGTGGGGAATAGAAATGACACCCTGGGGGTTGGCAGCGGGGGATGAGAGGAGAGACGCCACCGTAAACACAGATCAGGCGGCCACCACGAGCCCAGCACCTGCAGCAGCCGCAGATGGGCCGGGCCTGAGATGGGGGGGTGGGAGGGGTAAAGCCCTAGAAGCTGGAGCTAAGAGGAGAGACCTGTGGTTGCAAGACAACCAACCACCTGCAGCACCTGCGGGTGGGAGGGGCATGTCGAGGAAGGTAGAGCAAGGCGAGGAACACCTGCAGGCAAGCACCAACTCTGCGTCTCTTAATCGCCATATCTATCACGTCGCATGGCCCACTTTCTCTCGCCCACCTCATCTATACATGTGCACCGTCCCTCATATGCATGCACACACTCTCCTCTTCCCCCACCACAGTACCTCGCCCCACTCCTCCCTCTCACCTCGTCTGGCGTACTTGCGGTCGCCCGCCTCCTCATCGGTGCGGTAAGCCGTCTCGATCTCCTCTGTGATGTCCACCGCCGTGCGATCCGACCCGCCCGTCCGGCTGCGCGCAATGTTCACCCCGCCCTGCTGCTGTGGCTGGCGGGTGAAGAGTGAGCGGCAGGACAGAGAGGGGGTTGAGGGGGAAGAGTGAGCGGTAATCACCTTCACTTGGAAGGGGGGAAAAAAATGAGGGGGGCAGGGAGTAGTATCACTGGTGCACCCCTGCAAACCGCATCCAACCACTGGCACACGCACAGCAAATCCCACCTCCAGCCACTCACTTGACGCTTGGCCCCAGCTGAAGCTGCAGCTGCCGCTGCTGCTGCTGCAGCCGCCACAGCCGCTGCTGCTACTCCTGACGACCCCCCCCCGCTGCCCTCCCCCTCCCCGCCGTTCCTCTCCTCCACTGCCCCACCTGCTTCCCCCCGGGCCTCCCCCTCCGCCCCTGCACTCGCGGAGTCTGCCGCCCGCCCCACCGCTGCGAGAGGGCCGGAGGCGAACGCGGGCGGCGCGGGTTTGTCTGATAGTGCTGTGGCTGCTGCTGGGTCAGAGGTGACTGGCGCGCTCAGGATGACGTCGGCAACAGATGTCTGTGCGGGATTGGTGCGGGAGCGGGGAAAGAGGGTTATGGCTGGTTGGAGGGGGAAACGAGGATTATGGCTGGTTGGAGGGGGAAACGAGGGTTATGGCTGGTTGGAGGGGGAAACGAGGGTTATGGCTGGTTGGAGGGGGAAACGAGGGTTATGGCTGGTTGGAGGGGGAAACGAGGGTTATGGCTGGTTGGAGGGGGAAACGAGGGTTATGGCTGGTTGGAGGGGGAAACGAGGGTTATGGCTGGTTGGAGGGGGAAACGAGGGTTATGGCTGGTTGGAGGGGGAAACGAGGGTTATGGCTGGTTGGAGGGGGAAACGAGGGTTATGGCTGGTTGGAGGGGGAAACGAGGGTTATGGCTGGTTGGAGGGGGAAACGAGGGTTATGGCTGGTTGGAGGGGGAAACGAGGGTTATGGCTGGTTGGAGGGGGAAACGAGGGTTATGGCTGGTTGGAGGGGGAAACGAGGGTTATGGCTGGTTGGAGGGGGAAACGAGGGTTATGGCTGATTGGAATATTTACTGACCCACCTGAGTCAGGGGCTATTTCTACAAACCCACCTGAGCCAGGAGCTGTTCCAACAAACCCACCTGAGCCAGGAGTGCTCTGAGGTGCGTGTAGAGAGCAGAGGCAGAGTCCTTGTGCGACCTGGCTGGCCATATCTGCTCGCATGCACGGATAAACACATGCACCGACACGCACACACACATGCACACATGCACACCTCCACGCACACATGCACACATGCACACATGCACACATGCACATACGCACACATGCACACATCCACATACGCAGAAGCACCCACCACACACACATCCACACAAACGCACAGACACGCACACACCAGGACAAGAGAACCAGGCACGGTGAGTGTCCCTGAACCTTACCAACACAATGAAGCGTCTCTGCTGATCAGCACGCATATGCCACTACAGCAGAGCAGAAGGCATGGGTGCGGGCCCATGCTGCACCAAGGGGCGCACCTCAAGGCCACAACCAGGGGAGGCGCATGTGAAGCCCGCTGGCGCGGTGTTGGGCGGGAAGGACTCCACGTGCCTCTTCACACACTCCGCATGCGGCACGTCTGCACCCACGAGACCAAGGCACACGACACGGTGAATGTCATACCAGACAGCGATGCAGGCGAGGCGCAAAGTAAGGCGGGGAGCAAAGGCAGGCGGGTCGGCTCGGCATCTAGAGAAGAGCAAAGAGGTAGGATGGGAAGGTGAGGCAGGTAGGGTGGGGGTAGAGCGCGCGTACGGAGGCAGGAGAGGCGGATGGTGGGCTTGTGGGAGTCCTCGAGGGACTCGCTGCACACGGCGCAGTGCGGCGGCCAGTCGTAGTCGCCGTCGTTCACCCAGTCCGAGTACTGCCATACCTGGGGTCCAACCGTCGCGGGGACGGGACGGGAGAGAGGGAGGGAGGAGGGAGGGAGGGAAACACGGATACGAGATCCGTATGCTTTGTTGCTTCGAGAAACGTTCTACATTCAACAAAAGGACGGTGGTATGCTATAGTTTTCCACTCCAATCGTCATGGCCACGAGGATCCAGGAACCTCTTCCCCGATGGTCCAAGCGAACGGCTGCAGGTGACACACAAGAGAGCAACGGACCTCCGGAAGCACGACAACAAGCGACAGGTGTCGACAGGACGTACCACGCAGTGCTGGTGATCGGGAGCGCATATGCAGTCGAAGCACACCGGCGTCTTGTGCACGAAGCAGTATAGCTTGGTGGCCTGCCACGGAAATTAAATCATTTCGGTATGGGACTCTTTGAAGCAGCGAAACAGTCAACGACACGGGTGAAGGACTTCTGTGATGATCTGATTACGCACAACAAGATTGAAACATTTGATTGAGCAGTCGCATGCGGCACACCTTACGACATTTGCAGACCACCATCGGGACAGATTCAGCTACACGAGTTCAGTACACACGATATGCCCTTCAAGCCAGGTGGTCGATCACAGGAATTCGTGAAAAGTAACTAATTTCTGCGGTTCCCGACATCTAGTCTTAGCAAGTTGCCATGGAAGTCTCTAAATGGCGATCTGGAAATTCAGCTGATACAAGTTTCTTTTACACTGACAATCTCGAGGCAAGGTGTGGCGGGAAGAGGAATTGTCAGCAGCGGGTCAGGGTGAGTTGATCCCCGTTTGTGAATCGTGTACACCCTGGATACCGAAACGCCAATTTGCATAACATGCTTCAGTAGCACTAACATTCCTTGTGCCTCTCTCCCACCTCTATGGGTTTGCCCCTCGAGGTAGATTTCACCCCTCATGAGGTATCATGCAGTAGGAACTTAAATCCCTTTCAGTTAAGATAGCGATTTTTCTGCTCGAATAGAGAAACCTTAAATCCTAAACCTATCAAGCGAATTCCACTATAAATACAATCCTATTTTTTGCTTGCAAATGTTTTGAAGTATAACAAATGCAGAGTTTGAAGCTAGAAGCATACGCTGGGTACACAGTCCACATGTCCCATGCAGTCTACTCTATGTCGAATCGGCTTCAAATCTCTGACACAGTTCCCGCCACATCAACCCTCCTCGACAGTCCCTTCCCTATGTCAATTCGCGCCACCCAATACAGTTACAGATTTCTCGGTTCTCTTCTTCCCTCCCTTTCAACCTCCAAACTCTCCTCCTCTTGGCTTTTCACACAGCAACCGCGGATTCCCTAGCAAGAGCCATCCTTGAGATTCTCGAGCACTGCCCTCATGCACTTCAGAAAGAGGTAACCCGACGATGGACTCAAATTACCACGTAGTCTGCGCTCCCACGCGACTCACGTTGACTAGCACAGCAGGTCCGCGCGGCTCAGAATGGCGACGCGGGGTATTTAGCTTCACGTCGCGGTTGTTCCGCCTTAGATGGTCCCGGCAGTCAGAAGATAGTAACCATTTGCTTCGCAATAAGAAGGTTAGCCCTCCGCCGTCACCAGTCTCCGCAAAAACTTCTAAGTGGGCCCGCACCGCCCCTACCCGCCTACGCCGTTTCTCCCGCCTTGCCATCCTCGCCGTCGCTTTTCTCCTCGCTGTTTTTGCAGTCATCGATCTGACAAGATTAGCCCTTACGGACGGCCCTGATGAAGAAGGTTTTTTCTCCTCGCGCGCTACCAGCCGATGGAGTCCCCAATTCAGATCGCGCTGCTCGAAGCGCTGCTCGCGCCGCGGCACGTGCAACGAGGAGCTCGGTCGCTGCGACTGCCCTGCGGGGTTCACGGGCGACGCGTGCGAGGCCGATGCCTTCCCTTCCTGTGAGCTTGCGCCGGGCTTCCGCACGCCGTGCGCGTTCCCCTCCACCTGTGCGTGCGCGCGCGAGTGCCGCGCGTTTCACCTCATCGGCCCCGGCGCGGTTTGTTTCAACTCCTCCCCCAACGCCTCCGCCATTCCGCCACGCTCGCTGGCGGACATCTTCCGCGCGGAGGTCACGACAGTGGGCGCAACGGAAAAGGGGGATGAGGCAGAATGGGGGACCCTGGGAATAGAGGAGGGGGGAGCGCAGACTGGCTCGGGGAACGGCGCAGTTGCATCCGCGGTAGTGGCTGGGGGGGCATCCACCGGTCCACGCGGGCCAAGCAGATTGCACAGCAACGATCTCCCCGCGTTGCGCAAGAGCTCGCGGAGATGGGACGGAGGGCGCAATGCGCGATGGAGAGGGGCGGGCGCAAGGGACATGCCGTCAGGGGGCGCTCGGAATGACTGGGGAAGTGCGGCTGGCGTGGGGGCAGCCGGCTTAGGGGGGAGAGAACAGGCATCGCGCTGGCGGGAGTCGGGCGGAGCGCAGAAGCAGATGTGGGCGCGGTACACGTGGCAGTTGCGGAAGCGATACACGGACCCGCGGGAATGCCCCCTGGGGTGCTCTGGTCGCGGGCTGTGCCGTGACGCGTCCAAGACGTGCGAGTGCGTGCCCATGTCCCGCCATTTCCTATCATTTCAAAGCTTATGATCGCTCTGCCCTCTGATTCAAGTAGAACGCAAGTATCAAGCATTCGCGCCCTTCACTCTGCTCCGTTTGTCGCTCCCCTCTCTTCACCTCTCCCCGCTCTCCTGCTCTCCCGCCTTCCCGCTCCTCCCCTCCCCCCTCCCTTCTCCGCCAGCTGCGCGTGGCGGTACGCGGGCCCGGGGTGCGAGGAGGAGCGCGCGGGGGGCGTGCAGTGCGTGAACGAGTGCAGTGGGCGCGGCAGGTGCGACGGTGGCACGTGCGCGTGCCAGCCTGGCAGCTTCGGCATCGACTGCTCGCTGTCTTTGGATCCCAGCACTGGAAACTCAAGGTGAGGGTGAGGGTATGGCTGACAGGAGCTGCCTTGCACTGCCTCTCACTCATTTTGATTTGTCTCTTGCTGTCACCCTCGCATTCCTCCTCCTCCACCTCCTCCCACCCACCTTCGCCCCTCTCACCCACCCTTATCCAACCCCACCCTCCCCACCTTCCCGCCCCAGCATCCTCCCAAACCCCACCTTCAGATGGCCGCCCCAGTCCTTGCCCTTCCGGGCGGCGCTACAAGACAAGAATCTCCGCCCACGGGTGTACGTCTACGAGCTGCCTCCGGAGCTGAACACGTGGCAGTGGGAGCAGTCGGGCGCTCTGGACCGGCCCGAGGGGGTGGTGTTCCTGGAGCGACTGCTGGCTGATGGCCGGCGCACAGCAGATGGCGAGCAGGCGGACTACTTTTATGTGCCGCTGGTAACCAGGTGAGTGTTGGTGGGGCAGTGTGGTAACCAGGTGAGTGTTGGTGGGGCAGTGTGGTAACCAGGTGAGTGTTGGTGGGGCAGTGTGGTAACCAGGTGAGTGTTGGTGGGGCAGTGTGGTAGCCAGGTGAGGTGGGGCAGTGGTAACCAGGTGAGGTGGGGCAGTGGTAACTAGGTGAGGTGGGGCAGTGGTAACCAGGTGAGGTGGGGCAGTGGTAACCAGGTGAGGTGGGGCAGTGGTAACCAGGTGAGGTGGGGCAGTGGTTACCAGGTCCTGTGTGGCTGTGGTAACCAGGTGGCAGTTGTGACACCCTGACCTGACTTGCCGGACCGAATCTGGGGAAGAACAATAGCTGCAGGTGCAGGCTGTGACCCGTGCCCCTTTCCCCCCTTCCAGTCCTCACCTCCCTCCATTCTTTCTCCATCTGTCCCCCCATCGCTCCTCTCTCAATCACCAGGAATCGCGGGCAAATGAGCGTGAGCATGGGGGGCATGGGGGGAAGCACGGGGATGGGCGCATATGGTGGCACAGCGATGGCGGGGTGGGACGCCATTGACGCTGCAGTGGCATACATCAGCCGCCACTGGCCCTTCTGGAACAGGACAAACGGCGCCGACCACGTCTTCCTGCTCAACGGCGACTGGGGGGCGTGTGAGATGCGGCCAAGCGGGTGGGGTGGCGGGGGAGCAGCGGAGGGTGAGGGGGAAGGGATGGTTCTGCAGAGGCATCCGAGGCTGGAGCGAGCTGTGGTGCTGACGCCCTGGGGGTACGGGGGAGGAGGGGGTGGCGCGGGTGGGGTGGGAGGGTCGGAAGGGTCGGAAGAAAGGATGGGCGGGGCAAGGTGGAGGAGAGGGGCGCAGCAGCAGCAGCAGGGGGAGCAGCAGGGGCGAGGCGGGCATTGCTTCATGGCGGGGCAGGACGTGGTGATCCCCCCGCTCCTGCCCCCCTCCGTGGTGCTCGCCTCCCCCTTCGTGCGCGAGCCCCTTGAAGGCACCCCCGACCGCAACACTCTGCTGCTCTTTGTTGTTCGGGGGGCGAGGGGAAGCGGAGGGGCAGGGGCAGTGGCAGGGGCAGGGGCAGGAGGAAGGAGGGGCAAAGCAGGGAAAGCAGAGGGGGTGTGGAGTCCGGGGGCCGGGGTGGGTATGAGAGGTGGGGAAGCGATGGGAGGAGGCGAGTGGGTGGGGAGGCCTGGAGGCGACTGGGGCGCGGTGCACAGGGACCCACGTGCTGCTTCGTTGTCGGCCTCGAGTCTTGTATCGAATGAGCCTGTATCGAGTATAGGTTCACGGTTCCTGCAACTCTTCTCCCACCGGCAGCAGCAGGTGGGGTTCCGGATCATGCACCTGGGCGCACAGCGCATGGGGGCAGCACAGGTGGGGCAAGGTGGGGACTGGGAGGAGGCAGGGGAGGCAGGGACGGAAGGGGTGGAAGGGGAGGAAGCGGAGGAAGAGGAGGAGAGAGAGGAGGGCGCAGTGACAGACGCCATGCTGCGGGCGCAGTTCTGCTTTGCACCCATGCCCGCCACGGGCTACAGTGACACAGTGGTGCGGGCAGTGCTCCTCGGGTGCATCCCTGTGATCGTCCAGCCCCACAGCCAGCAGCCCCTGGCCAGCACAGAGTTCCTCCCCGGCTATGACACCCATGCCACCGCCAGCGCACGCACACACACAGCAGGAGCCATCCACTGGCCGTCCCTGGCGCTCTTCCTGTCTCCCCAGCAGCTGCCAGAGCTCCCGGAGATCCTCCGAGGCATCACCCCGGAGGAGGTGGCTCGGCGCCGCACTGCCATGAAGGCCGCCTGGCCGCGCCTGCTCTGGGCCTCGCCGCTCTACAGCCCCCTCTCGCCCTCCCCCTCCTCCTACTCCTCTTCCTCCGCTTCTTCCGCCTTTGCCTCCTCAGCCTCCTCCGCCCCCCCCACGCCTTCCAGTCTGCTGTATCTGCAGAAGAAGCTGCGTCCTCTGCTCGCCTCATCAGATGCGTTTTCGTCCGTCATGGCTGCTCTCGGGCGGCGGGTCCGGGCAGCTGAAGTTTCGGCTGTGCAGGGGATGGTGACGCTGCCAGCGGCAGGGGGGCAGGTGGGACCTGGCCAGGTGGTATCTGGTGGGAAGGGCAGCTTTGTGTTTTCCCGAGCAAGCAAGATGGCGGGGGGTGGGGAAGGAGGGGGTTACAGGCAGGGGGGTGGGTGGGTGGGGCGAGGGGGAGG